GGTGGCCTCCCAGGACTGATGGGTTGCAGGCTCCCATCCTCTGGCCTCAGGTCCCTCTGCAGCCCTGGGGATGTGGGGCCTTTGCTGCTGCTGCACAAAATTGCTGCATGCAGGTCGGCCAGAGGATGAAGAAGGTAGCGAAGGACCTGGCTGGCCTAACCTTCGGCAAGCCAAGCAGATTCGGCGGCGGCGGCGGCGGCGGCAAGAAGAACGGGTGGGCCCCGGGAACTGACGTCCAAGAGGCAGGCGTTAGGAAGAGAGGTCGGCTCTCCTGCTTGGCTAGCTGGCGTAGCAGTGAACGAGTTAAGGGAAGGGAAGGGAAGGGAGGGGGTGGGGGGGCCGGAGGCCGGTTGTCAGAAGGGAGCATGTGCAGTTTGCAACCGCATCGATACTATGGGCTCCTTTTCACGGGCACATTTCAGTCCCAGCAGCAGCAGCCTCGGTGGCAGGAAGAGCCGGCGCTCGGCAGAGCGTTGCATGGAGGCGAGGAAGGCGACGCGCTGCTGAGGAAGCCGGGAGGGAAGCCGAGCCGGATCGCTGCCGGGAAGCACCTGCGCTGGGGCTCTTCCCGCCCCCCAGCCCTTCCCGCCCCCCGGGTAAGCGCATCATCCGCAGAGGCCTCCGTCCAGCAAGCGGGGGGCGGGGATGCCCGGGGGGGGGACGGGGGAGGGACACCTGGGGGATGTGGTTGCCGGGGCTGGCCTCCCTCGGCCGGATCCTTCCTGCCGCTGGCGCGCCCCCCAGGCACCTTCCTGCCTTCGCGCCCTGCTTCCTGCTCGCCACGCCCCCGCCGCCCTGGGGATCACGATGCTGGAGTGCGGTCTGGCCTGGAGCTGGGCGAGCGCGGGGCAGGTGGCTCGAGTCGGGCTGCCGTCGTCGGGACCGCCTCTGGGCGGACTAGTCCCCAGCGGCGCCTGCAGTCGAGGCTGGCGCGGGGGGAAGGGAAGGGAGGGCCACCCTCGGCCCCGGGTGGGTAGGCTGGGCAGCGAGAGAGTCTCGACTTGGAATCACGCAGGCACCATTGTCCTCCCCGCCACCTCGGAGGTCCTGGCCTTCCGCCCCTGCCCCCAAGGCCGCTGGCTGCCGTTTGGCTGCGGATAGTGCCTGTGGGAGGAAGCGCTGGCACGCGGGTTGGTGCGCCTCTTCCCGACACTCTGTATCCTTCCACGGGCACTTTCAGTTTGCAGAGCAGCATAGGTTTCTGCATTGCATTCCTCCTCAAGCTGGTCAAGTACAGTAAACTGAGACTGAGTACAGTAAACTGAGGTGAGAGACGCAGAGAGGTTTGCCCCCTTTGAATATGAAAGTTCTCTTTAGTTAACAGCCATGATGAGTCAACCAAGTCCCCCTTTAAAGCCATCAGTACCTTGTGTCCATCACCACGTCCACTGGCAGAGAATCCCACAGTTTGGTTACTCATGGAGATGACCAGCTGCTGAACTGAAACCCATTGTGTTTGAGGAGATATGAAGTTCTGTCTATTGTATTATCTCTCTGTGGTGATGGCTTGCTTACACCTGTTGATGAACAGGTGTAGGCAAACCAGCTCTTCAAGATTTTGATCTTTGTTGCATGCGGCCCCAAACCAGCTTATTGTTCCAGGGACTTCTTGACTTTTCTCATCACTCCTTTTGTATAGATTGACATGAAATCTCTTCAACTAGCAAGGCAGTTTTCCAATAATAGGCTTCAGTTCCTCTGAGTTAAGACAAGCCTGCTCTCCTTCCCTTTTAACTCTAAAAAGGATCTTTGCAGGGATAGATGGAGGAATCATGAGGATAGATGGAGGAATCATGCATGAAATGATTGCTACCCTTTAACTATTTGAAAAGAGGGGAAATACCCTTTCCTTCTTACATCCATAGCTAAACATACACTACCAGTCATCAAGTGTGTGTACTGTTCATTTAAGAAGTGTATCTGAGAACAGTTGAACTATATTGATTGGCTCTATTAAAGTTTTACCCCAAAAAAGAAAAGAAAGTACCTTAAGTCACCAAGACTGAGAAAGATCAGAACTTTAGACCAGAAGAAACTGATATGTGGCCTACGAAGTAAAACAATTTGGATGGATGTGAATTTGCTAACGAAGACTTGTGAACAACTACATCTGACAAATGCCAGATAACAAGAAAAAGATTTTCCCAGTAAGGCAGAAATTAAATCTGAATTATGCAGACTGCATGCACTACACAAATTAAGCATATGTGCTTATCTCTACATGGTGTGTTCTGTCTCTGTTCATCATGGGATGAGGCAGAGCATGGACACAAGAGCCCTTTGATCACTCAGAAAGTGGTCTTGCTTCTGCCCTGCCTTCTAACATTGGACATCCTTGCAAATTCAGAGTGTTGAGAAAGATCTGTCAGCAGATCCTATAGTGTGTTCCACAGCCTTTCCCCTTCCCCTTTAAAAATATATAATTCTTTTGTATTTGTGTTATTTATTTGTTTGTTTACACATTGCAAGCTGCTTTGGGTCCCCATTGTGGAGAAATAAAATTATGTTTCCCAAAGTTTATTTTTGTATCAGTATATTTGTATTTTGAGATACAAATGCTGAGATAAGGATTCCCCCATCCCCAGGTACTTGTTTTTTCTATAATATTGTACAGCCCTCATATTCTCAATCTCAACAGCTGTAATAAACAATAGGCTTCTAGGCAGGCAAGATACTGCACATTTTAATGGGTTCTGGTAAAGGGCTCTGTTTAGTGCTTGATAAATCTCCTGTACTTCAGTGTTAGCTACTATAGGGTCATCTTTTCATTCCCACCTGAGAGGAAGGATCCCTTTCAAAATGTGGTACTGTCAGAGTTCTGAGGGACATTGAGGAGGGTGGAACTGGCTGTCAGTTATGGGCAGACCATCAGCTGGGCTCAGCTGTTTATGACAACTTTCCCTCTATAGTTCAAAAGTGATTCAAAATGCCTGCTTCTGACAGGGAATACTTTCTCTATTCATTTTCCTATCTCAAAAGTGGCAAAAATCACAAGTCATATTTAGGTTTTTGTGTCCTCAGTAATTGAGTGGATTCTAGTTTGGGTGCACAATTTAGCCAAACAATCACTTTTATTCCAGGCCATTGTAAGTGGTGGAGTAAGGGGACAAACTTCCAGAGGCCCTGATCATTCATAAGGAGCTGGTCAAGTCACATGGTTGGTTTCATAAATGCTTGGGTTGGGTCTGGGTGGTGTCAGAGAAGAGCCAGATTATCTGGAGGCTGGTTGTGGCTGTTGGCAACCTTGCTTTTTTGTCCTGTCAATTTAAATGGAAGTGTTTTGTGCACATTCTCAATACTTTGATTGAAATTAATGGGATTGAACTTTGCCTGGATTCTGTTCTAAACAAACTCCACCTATTAAGCTTAAAATGCTGAATTATTGCTTTGAGGATGCTTTCAGTAGTGGGCAATGACATAGCCTGTATGTAGGGACTTTCTTTTGAAGTCAGCATACTTCTTTCTGTATAATGTATTACTTGGTGAGTATGCATAGAACTGCAGCCTTAGAGATTCCTGTCAACTTGTGTCGTTGGAGGTTTGTGGCTCGAATTCTAGATCTGTGTGATAGAAAAGGGCTTTCTTGGCAACAAGTGTGCAGAAGAATTGCAGGATAAGTGATAGAAGGCACAAAGTAAGGAGGCAAAGATCTGTGATAATGTCCCCATGGAATTTTTTCCTGTTAGCAGAGTGCGGATTTAGGCCCTGGTTATTATGGTAGGACAGAAAAAAACCTAATTTTCATTTGAAAAGTAAGAGAGAGAAATTCTACTCAGTGAAAGAAAATGGCCATTTCAAGAACATGGTATTTATGGGATAATTTGCCACTGGAATAAAAGTGGTGGCACTCTGGATTGTGTGAATGCCTTTAGAAATTCATTACCTCTTCTCTTAAAAGTTTTCATTTCACCATTCTTGTACCAAAAATCCGTTTCTGGTAAAATGCAGTATTTTCTGTTAGTGTGCCTGGCTGACTGCTCATAGAAAAAGAGAGAAAAAACTAGAAGACAAAATGAACTCTGTGTTAAATTCTTACACCATTGCTATGAATACTACATGGAAAGTTAATCACTCTCAAATATGTTTTCCTGTTGCCTCTCACTGACATAACTTTCCTGATTTCTTAACCATGGTTTAGAAATTGGGAGGTTGCATACTCTGTTAGTTTCTCTGTCCTTTTCTCTCTTTTGTAAATTTGCTCTGCTCTCTTCCTATTGACCTTAATCACAGCAAACATTTCATCAGCTGACATGAACCATAGCTGATGACAACTAGCCCAATATCCTGTTAACTAATCTAATCTTCCTCAAACTCAGTTTCAAATCCTGTCTGGGCAGGAACCCTGGCTAGAATATATAAGGGAAGAGACAGTGACTTGTAAATCTGCACTCATTTCAGGTATTTAGGGGCAATGAACTTGGGAAGACGGGAAAGATAAATGTATGTATCTGAGGATTTTTTTAATGCACTGACTCACTCGTCTTTGTAAACAGTGTAAGATCTAGTTTGTAGTATTCTGGCTATGTTTAGACTTTGTAGTGTATGAGTAGACAATTTAATAAACCCTGCTGTTTTATTTGGGATGTCATATCTGTGATGTACAGAAGTTCTAATTGAAATGACTGTTTTTCTTCTTGGCATGTTTAATAGTTTCTTATGTTTTTACAGCTTCTGTTCACACTTGGAAATGGGTCATGAGACCTAAAGTACATTGAAGTAGAAGAAACATTTTTCAGCTTGAATGAACAGTAAGGATTGGCAATAAAGCCTTATACATTATCTTTTGTGTGTGCCATGGTTGTTTTCTCTTTACAGTGTTGGTTGTCACAGTAGTGTCGATCATTTTCATTTCAGACAGAGATTGTTGTCATCCCTCTTACACTGAAGGTAAAAAAATTATATGAGCAGAGCTGTTTGTGTTTTGAGCTGATCTAGAAGTAAATTCTGGGAAATGATCTTTTGGTGTAAGGAGAAGCTGATAGCTAATGAGCTTGCTTGATAAAACAGACAACATTTGATGGCTCAGTTGTGCAATACATTGATACTCTGTGTTGAAATGATCAATCACATTTTTTTCTTCCAAGACACTCAGGGTGGTCTACTGTTTTGTCCTCAAAATGTTCGGTTGAGAAATGGTGACAACAACCTTGAAGTCAGTCAGGGGGGGCTGAATGGGGATTTCAGCATGGGAGCCTCAGGTCTGAGTGCTGCATTCTACTTATCACCCCACTTGCCTGCAAGTGTGAAATAATGCAAAGAATAGCCTTTAAAAAAAGAAGGGTATTTTCTTGCGATAACAGCTTCACAAAGGGTATTTAGCAGAGGTATTTACTCAGAGATGGCCTCTCACAGTTCAGTGTTGGTTGTGTGAAACTACCCAAAGTGATGATATGCAAAGTTTTTCCATTTAGGAAAATAGTGCCATATAATTACATAGTAACATTGACCTAAAAATCTATTTTATGACACATGGTAAAATGAACTGACATTGCAGTCACAGTCTGTAATGCCTAGAAAAAGAACCTCAAGACATGCACTTGAGACCACTTCGCAGAAATTAGTTAATCCTTAATGTCCATGTGGCCAAGTCAGTGTAAAAATAATGACACCATCATCAGTGCTGATGCTTGTGTGGAATGCGGGTTCTAACCCATGCTTATGTTCTTAAATTACAACACGGTGGTTCTGTATTTATGTTGTCATATTGTGGTGTTGTAGATTAATTATTGTGTATGTGTCAGAAGTTTACGTGTTACGTTCAAGGGCAAGCCTTCTCTTTACTGTACACAAGTATCCAGAATGCACAACACAATGATAAGTAAGCAAAGCAAATGTTGTGTACAGGGCAGAATCTGACGCTGTTTACTCTATCCAGGAGTAACCGGATGCATAGATCTAATCACAACCAATCAAGGCACAAGAGCAATGTTAACAAACCAATACAAAGTCAGGAAGCTGAAGGTTCCATCTGAAAGACAGGGCAGGAGACAGGGTCTGGGTACCTAGCTGAAAAAATAAACACAGGTTAGCAGGACAGGATGCAAAGCAGCAAGCAAGGAAAAACTCTTGTTTGCTGAGTGGATCAACTCACAGAGGGGGTGGTGAGCAAGGTTGCCTCCACAACATCGCTGACGTTGGAGTTCATGGGGTGGCCTTACCGCATTTCTCTAGGTTTGGGGACAGAGGATGGTGCTAGGAGAGCGGGTGTCACCTCAACACCTTTGGTATGTGGGGTCTCTCAGCTGGCAATCCTCTCTCCAATATTGTATAACATCTATATGTGCCCCCTCATCCAGATGGTGCAAAGTTTCAGGCTGGGTTGCCATCAGTATGCAGATGACACCCAGCTGTATCTGTTGATGGACAACTGGCCAGATGCCGCCTCAGCTATTCTGGCCAAAGGGCTGGAGACTGTGGTTGGATCGTTGAAACAGAGTTGGCTGAGACTGAATCAATCAAAGATGGAGGTTCTGTGGCTGGGTAGAGGGGCTTCAGGGCTGGGTTTTCCCCCTGACACCAGTAGTGACTGCCAAGAGCCTAGGTGTACTTCTGGATGCCTTCTTGTCTATGGAGGCCCAGATCACAAATGTTGCTAGATAGGTGTTTCTCCGCTGTGCCAGATCAGCCAACTAGCCCCTTTCCTGTCTCGCCCTGACCTAGCCACAGTAATCCATGCAACAGTCACTTCTAGGTTAGACTAGTGTAACTCATTCTACGCAGGGCTACTCTTGAAGCTGACCTGGAAATTACAACTGGTCCAGAATGCAGTAGTCTGGTTCCTTACTGGAACCCCTCTAACAGCACACATTCAGCCAGTGCTTTGCCAGCTGTGCTGGCTCCAGGTTTGAATACCAGATCAGATTCAAGATTTTGGTATTAACCTTTAAGGCCCTAAACAGTCTGGAACCAATGTATCTATGGGACCACTTCTCCTGGTATACCTCCAGAAGAACATTACACTCTGGGGAGAAGAAACTCCTGGTGATTCCTGGCCCAAAAGATATCCAGCTGTCTTTGATCAGAGCCAGGGCCTTCTCAGCCTTGATGCTGGCCTGGTGGAACGCTCTGCCTAATGACAAAAGAAATGGGACAGAGCTCTGAAATAGTTACAGAATCTGTCTATTGTTTTTAATTATTTTAATCTGATTGTAATGTATTTATTGAATATGTTGTTCACCACCCTGAGCCCTCCACATAGGGGATGGGGGTCTATAAAACAAACAAATAAGCCTCATTCAGCATGCTCCTTTTATCTGCCTAATTAGCTGACTCATCCCTGAAGCACAGGAGTTACTTGTCACTCCTGTTCCTGTAACAACTCCACTTCAGGAATCAGTGCTGACCACTGTTGTGCAATTAACTGGGGACTTCTTTGTCACTCCAGAGCTGTCAAATGCTCCCAGCGTTTCCTGTACTCAGCTGGTTCGGGAGATGCTGGTGGTGACAGACACTCTGCTCTCTGTCCCATTTCTTTCATGTCCTGCCAGAATGAGCAACTCTCACTTCCTGACACATCTTTCACTGGTTCTGCCTCTAGATCCAGGGGCTCAGGCGGGCATTCCATGATGCAGGGCCTGATTCTTCCATTTCCTCATCCTTGGAGGAGGAGGCAGCTGGCTGGCTAATGACAGTGTGTGTTAAAGGTCACTTAAAGTTTTTATTATCACTTAGAGGACCTCTTCTCTTTACTGCTCTTCTTAAAATCTTCACTAGCAACTTTTAGTAGTGCATTTGGATTCTGATTCTTTTGGATTAAGTAACTGACCATAAGAGAATGATCTTCATTATGCACCTTTGATTCTTGCTTTAAACTATTAACCATGTAATCTGATATGTCTCCCTTCTTCAAAACAGGCATGAATTAGGCCAGATCATTATAGTAAGTTTCTAGGTTAAATCCCAGAATAAAAATTTGACCTAATTTTTACTAACAAATATCAGTTGTTGAACCAGCAGTGTTGTTAGTAGAGGAGCATAGGAAATAAGAGCATAGGAAGTATTTTAGAGGACATCTACATAAAAATATATTTTCCCACCCCCCCATCGCTCAGTGATCTCTGACCCAGATCTCACAAAAGCTTGTCAGGTGATAAACCTGTTTCTATACTATTTCACGTGGGAGCTCACATGATTGAATGAACCTTTATATCAAAACAAATATTTCACTTAGAAAAACAGACGTCAGGGAGAGGGTAAGGCTAGAACTCTCTCAACAAATATCTGGTGTTCTATGTGTAGTTAATGCTTGTTTTGTATATAGGAGCATTCATCCATATACAATGCTACCTCTAAGCTGTGGAGTCTTGTGAGCAAAAATTCTACTTTGTGAGCTACTGGCATTAAAGTTGTGCGCAAGCAATTTGTCTACTGCATAAATTAGTTTTCTCTGGAGCCTAGGCCTGCCAAGCCGCGGCGGGGGATCTGCACGTCTTCACAGGATCCCTGCCGCGGGGGACAGCGATATGCGTTGCACCGCCGTCGCCAGGATGTGACGCTACGCGTCGCTCTGGCAACAGTCCCGTTGCCAGAGCGACACGTAGCGTCACATCCTGGCGACGGCGGTGCAGCGCGTATTGCTGTCCCCCGCTGCAGGGATCCTGTGAAGACGTGCGGATCCCCGCCGCGGCTTGGCAGCCCTACTGGAGCTATCCTTCCTGAGTTAAGACAAAATGTGGGAGCCGGAGGCTAAAAAACTGTGAGCTAGCTCACACTAACTCAGCTTAGAGGGAACACTGGGCTGAACCCCCTATCTGCAGTATGAAGTGGTACAGCCCAGATAGATTTACCATCATAATACCTGTTGATCCTGAGAGCTAGGCCTCTGTGGAGTGGCTGGATACTATGCTCTCTTAAGGTTGTTAACCTGCAGGGTTGTGTGTGTCTATGTGTGTGTGAGTGAAATTTCCACTGAATGAAGGAGTTTTGCCCATACCATTGTCTGGTAGTCCTGCTTTGTGGTAACAAGACAATATCTAACTATATACTATGAGAGAAGATATTTAGAAAGAAGATGACCTACCTTAATATCCTTCTCACAAAGTAGAATTTTTGCTCACAAGACTCCACAGCTTAGAGGGAGCATTGCTTGAGATATATGGGTCAGTTATGATATTTTATTTACTTTATTTATACCCTGCCTTTCTCCACAATGTGGACCCAAAGCAGCTTACATGATTCTCCTCGCCTCCATTTTATCATCACAACAACCCTGTGAGGGAGGTTAGACTGGGTGTGTTTGACTGGCCTAAGGTCACCCAGTGAGCTTCCATGGCAGAGTGGATCTCCCAGATCTCAGTCTGACATTCTAACCACTGCATCACACTGTTGAGCCTAATTGTTCAGTACCAGAAGTCTGGCCAAAAATGTCTGCGTTTTTCCTCCTCCTGCAATAACTAATGGAATATTTAAGAATACTGTGCAACAGTGTTCCCTCTAAGCTGAGTTAGTGCAGTCTTTTAGCCACCGGCTCACACGTTTTTGTCTCGACTCAGTAAGGATAGCTCCAGAGCAAAATGACTGATGCAGGAGCCAAGTTGCTCGGTCACAACTTTTAATGCCAGCAGTTCACGAGTGGAATTTCTGTTCACAGGACTCCGCAGCTTAGAGAGAGCATTGCTGTGCAATATAGATAGTGTATATTAAACAGTATGTACAGAACTGTACATATCTCAAATACATTTTTTTTGTCATTCAGGATACCAGTTGTGGGCCCAGTCTGGATCTCATCTTTTCTAGCCTGGTCACACCAGGGTTGGCTGAATGTGAGAAGAGATTCTATTGAAGTACTCTTAGAGCCACCTCCATGAAATTCCTTATGTGTAGGAAATAGTGTAACATTTGTGTGTTGCCTGTTACATAGCCCAGCTAAATGCATATACATTCTGGTAGCACTTTATTCACTAATCTTCCATGTAGGTTTTTTCACTCTGAAGCAGCTCTTAATTTTGCAGTTTGGCCCACAAAGCAAGAATAAGTTGTCTTGTCTAGCAGCGGAGTTTGCTTAACAATAAAATGTGTCTTTTAGGAAAGCAGTAATGTCATATCCCTTTTAAATATATTTAAACCAATATAAAATTATTCTGTATTTTAAAATTCAGCTTCTTGCACAAGTTGCAGTTGTTCTTTTCTTGATCTTACCGCCACTTGGCAATTTTTGTACTCATAATTCTATAGCCCTCATGTGAAAATGAAAGTATAAACTGTAATCTGTTCTGTGAACTGAATGAGCATTTTTATTTTTGGTAAGTGTCTACTACTAGGTTTCTTTCAGTGCAATCCTAAAAGCACTTTCTTGGGAGTAAGCCCCATAGATCTAGGTAAGATTTTGAATAGATCTGCTTAGGATGGCACTGTAAAACACACAGAGGTACAAGATCCTGCAAGACTCTTAAGATCTTAGGAAAAAATTGTTACAGTCTTAGTTCAAAAGCAGTTGCTTGTCTGAAACCTAACATATTGGAATTGGTCATAATGGGGAAATAAGAAATCCAACAGTTCACTATATTAGCTTGTTTAGTATGCTTCTCCCTTCTTAAAAAGTCACTTAATTGTCCATCTACTGGTGGTTCAGGTGATCAACTTAAATAACTAGGTGGTAACACTATTGGGCAAGTAGCTGGGAAAGAAAGCCAAAATCCATTGTAGCACAGGTTCAGTGGTGAAAGATAATAGTGTAAATGCTTATTAGGAATAGTGCTGTTACATTGAGTTTTGTTAGGGTAGTTACTTCTTTGTCCATTAAATGCCCACTGCTGTGAAATAACAGAGACCCATTACAGTCTCAAGGGCATTGATCTTGGATGTTATATGCTGTTTTTCTCTTGGAGTGTTCATTTGTATCTTTCAGGCTAAAGTAAAGGCACATTGCTTTGAAAGTTCTTTGGTCCATTGCTAGCACATCACTCTTATGAAGAACTGGTGTGCTTTTATTTTAGTGGGGGGGAAATAAAGGAGTTGTCATCCTGTGTTTTGACTGCTGCCATTAATTAATCCAATACTGTAGTTGGGGCACCCTTCTTACTAAATCTTGCCCATATGCTCAGGGCCTATGTGAAAGATGGATTAGAGTGTAAAGAGGATCTCATTTGTTAAGTGACTTCACTATCGTCTTTCTTTGATTGCATAAGTCTTGAGAATTGGTATTCATTATGTTAGAGCTAAGTGGTGAGGCTTCATGTAGAATTTCAGCACAATCCTAAGTGGAGTTATAGCCTTCTATCCATTGAAGTCAATGAAAGGGTATAACTCTGTTTAGGATTGCACTGTTAGATTTTCTGCTGCTCTTGCTTGTTCCTTCTCAAGGTAGCATCTTTGTCTGGAGTCAAATATTTACTGTACATTCTTGTGGTAGTGTAAGATACTTCCATGCCAACTAATATTTGCTCTTCAGGATAGTATGAGCAGTGTGCCTGCCAAGAAGGTAACAAAAGATGAAATTAAAAATGAAAGTTCCCAATCAATTAATTAGATAACTATACGAGAGAAACAGACAACATTAATAAAGTACCCTTTCAACTTAGGCAGATCTTGAAAGACTGAAGCACCATTGGAAATGATCCCCCTCCCTTTTTGTTCCATCACTGCAGATGGAAAATAAAGCATGAAAATAAAGCCTGAAAAAATGAGGATAGCTGAATCGCACTCTTCCAGCCTACCCTTCTGTAAAATGCGTTCACCATTAAACAGTGGCAGTAAGTAACCTACAGTAGTAATGGCTGTTGCTACTCTTTTTGGTATGTAAATAAATGTACAGATAGATTCTACTCTAGTGTAAATCTATGTCAATTCAAAGAAACAAATTCACATCTCATAGCCGCTTGAATTTGGGCTTACATTGTGTCATTTGGTATCCTGGATTCCAGATTTATCTCAAGTAGCCTATGTATTTTTTCCATTTGCTTGTTTGTTAATTATATTTACATCATACTTTCCTGCTAACATGAAACTGAAGGCAGTGTACATTGGGTTCCCAAGTGGTCTCCCAGGTACTGGTGATACTCAGACTGCATAGTTTCAGTAGGGATGCTATACTATGTGCCTTGGGCTAGTGTTATATGATTTTAAAGCACAGAGATTCTACTTGTGTTTTGGGAGGAAGAAAAATCTCTTCTGTGCACACGCTGTATTATGCACATATTCTTGCAGGGACCTATTGGATGTAGTATAAGAGCTGTGGATGTTGTAGTCCACTCAAACAAATATGGGAGTCCAGTCTCTGTTCTGTGCTAAACCCTGATTGCAAGTCATGATTCTGCCTTCTCCACAAAAAACTAGAGATCTTAGAATTGAAGGGTGTAGAGGCTGGATCCCCAGGGCTTGCTGTCGTGGCAAGTATCATTGAATGTCTATGTAATGCCAGCGCAGGGAGCTCTTAAAGTCCTTTCATTGTCATTAGGCCAATTGGGATGTCTGACTGCTAATTGGCTATTTGAATGATCAAGATAACAGACAGTGCAAGAAAAAATTATGATTTTGGGAAGTGAGGAGAAATCCTGACAATATAAAAATGCTTTTAATGTGGTTTTATCTAAATGCAGTTCCTCTAAAAGTCATCCACTTTTCGGTGGCCCAGCTTCTTTACATTCTACAGTATTTGTAGATAACCGCTATTTAGCTATTGTCAGTATATCTGATTTTCAACATGGCCAAGAAAGTGGATACTTGCATCCAGAGACTAGAGCCATGAACTGACAAGACAGATCCTTCTACAAACCTGAAAAATATGTCTGAAATCTTTTTAAAAAACCCAAATAACAGAAGCAGCACCTGTAGCTTGAAGAAATGAATGCCCTCAATGGCCATTGCTAGGCAACCAGAACAGTAAAAGACAGGAAGAGGAGCAAGGCCCTTTCTGGGGCTGTTTTAGTCTTTGAGGGAGGACTCCTCAGGGCCAGACCCACAAGCAACCAAGGCCAGGCCCATGAGCGACTTGCTACCACCCAACTTGCATGACACACCCAGGACTGGCTGTTCAATAGCAGCCACCCCCAAAAGGCAGCATGGTGTAGTGGTTAGAATTATAGACTAGGATGTGGGAGAAACAGCTGCTTTCAGCACTGTTGACCATATTTGGTCATGGTCCAACTGTCTAGCCTCTCTGGGGGTGAGAGGCACCACACTGAGGTGGTTTTCCTTATTCCTCCAGAGACACTCGTAGAGTGGAGAGAGCTCAGTTCCTTGGGCCCTAACCCATGGGATTCCACAGGAGTAGATCCTCTTCCTGGTGTCATTAAATAACTATATGCACCCTCTGGCGGAGATCATCAGGAGGTTTGGAGCTGGGTGCCACAAATGTGCAGATGACACCCAGCTCTAACTCCTGATTGAAAAGCAGCTGGCCCTGGCCTTGTGCCAGGATGCTGCAGGTGATTGGTTAGGTGAGAGCTGGCTGAAGTTAAATCCTTCAGAAACAGAATTCATGTGGTTAGGTAGGTTCAGGGTTCGGGAGGGTGGCTTTACCTGCAATTGACAGGTTCCAGCTCTTTGCACTGGACTCCATTAGGAGTTTAGGGGTGTGGCTGGATTCTTCCCTTACCCTGAACAAACATGTGTCTGGGATGGTGAAGGCAGTGTTTTATCACCTACGCTGAGAACTACCCGCTGGCCCTCTATCTGTCCCACTCTGACCTTGCCACTGTGATCTGGGCAATGGTCACCTCCAGATTAGACTACTGCAAAGCACTCTACGTAGGGCTGCCTTAGAAGATGCAGCTGCTTGTTTGCTGACTGGGTCCCCCTGGTCAGCATGTATAACATCAATACTTTGGCACCTGCCCTGGCTTCTGGTAATTTCCAATGCAAGTTCAAAGTGTTGGTTTTGACCTATAAAGTCTTAAACGGTCTGGGACTGTACCTCCAGCAGGACTGCCTCTCCCAGTATGACCCCCCCCACCTCCTTAGATCATTGTTGAAGGGCCTTATACAGGGCAAGGGCATTATCAGTGGTTCACCCCTCTCTCTGGAATCAACTCCCTGGAGAAGTCTGTGCACTGCAAGATCTTCTAGCATTCCATAGGGCATGTAAGGCTTTGTTTCGTGCAGCCTTTGGTTAATGTTACAAATTGAGGAGCTGGCCGATTGTTTTAATTTCTTCAAGTAATTAGTTGATGTTGTAATTGGTTTTATAGTTTTATTTATTGCATTTATTTATTTTTATTGTATTTGTATTATTATATTGTATTTTTTAAATATTGTAAGCCACCCTGAGTCTCCTGTGGGGAGAGGGTGCGAGGTATAAATAAAATAAATAAAACAGAGGGTCTGTTGTGGAAGCTCACTGGGTGATCTTGGGCCAGTGACACATTCTCAGCCTTATCTATATCACAAGGTTGTTGTGAAGATAAAATGGAGGACTATGATGTAAGCTGCTTTGGGTCCCCATTGTATAGAAAGGTGGGCTATGCATGAAGTAAATAATAAATATAGCTTAAGATTGGGGGGCAGATAAAAGTTGGTGGGTGGGAAGAAGAAAAGGAAGCAGGGAAAGGTTAGAATAGGGGGTTGCTAGAAGGTGGGAAAGAGGAACTAGGGTGGATACAGGGAAAAGTGAGGTGCCCCCTGCAATTGCTTGTAGATTTCCCACCATGTAGCTGGGGCTGGCAGAGAGCAATCTGCACCCAGGAGCATCCTGGCAGATAAAGGTAGGCTGGCTGGTGGGTGGGAAGGAAAGTGGGAAGCTGGAAAAAGGTAGGCTGGCTGGTGGGTGGGAAGGAAAGTGGGAAGCTGGAAAAGGGGAGAAGCTATGGAAGGAAAGAGAAAACTGCAGGGGAGGGGAAAATCAGATGTCTCTCACAAATCCTCGTGGGTCCCCTGCTTGTAATATGTAGCTAAAATTTCATGCCCATTTTCCAGATGACTTAGTAAAACAAAAGCAAATAAATGACTCAGTCCAGAACAGAATGTAAAAAGCATGGAAGAACCCAGGAATAGAAGTTAACTGTCCCCACTGCCCTGCACAGTATATGTGGCAGTTGGAAATGTTAATCTGCTAAATTGCTAAACAGCTGTGCTCTGACCTCAATCCCTATTGGATCAAGAGGAGTTTTAACTGATGAATTACATTTTCTACTCTAAACCCTGGTCAAACTGATCTATGAGAGATAGTATGAGAATGGATGTTTCTGTTCAAAGAAGTCTAGCCCTCTCTATCCCCATTGTTAGTAAAGGCCTTCTGGACATACATTTTGAAACTATAAATTAAAGCTTGAAAGAAGCTAAGACCTATTCATGTAAAATTGTATGAAACTATTTTTAATTCTTTAATTTTTATAAATTCACCAGCCTCTGTTAGGAAAACAAAATTGCCTTAGTAGATTATACTAAGCTAGTGGTCAGAAAGAAACACAATGTGAATCATCAGGTTTTCATTCAATTTTTATCCAGCAATAAAACCCATTATCCCTAATTAGAATGAAGGAAAAAATACTGTTTAACAACGCAAAAAGAGGAAAAGGCTACACCTGCATTGAAAAGCTACATTTATATTGGCAATGTTCTAACATATATACATAAATTGTATTGTTCAAAGGCCCAGCATTCTTCAGTCTAGCTCTTCTGTCAGTAGTGGTTACATCTTGCATTTAAATCTGTGGCCCTGGTCACACGGGAGGTTTTGGCCCGGAAGAGGGACGGATCAGGGGCGCAGCAAACGGGCGTGATCAAACCGCAACATCTGGGAAGTGGCGCGCACCCGTCCCCGATCCGTCCCTTCAGCCGAAAATCCCGCTGCAAAAAAGAACCTGCAAAAGAGCAGGACTTACTGGAAACAGCGCAGCAAGTGTGGCCGTGAGATCGCCGGCGCACCCGTCTTCTGGAGCAATCGAGGCTCCTGGCCGAACTGCACATGTGCACACATGCACAGTTTGGCTGCCTTGCTCTCCCTTCAGTGGCTTCCCCCCGGCATCTGATCATGCCGGGGAGGAACTGCGCAGCGGCTCAGGGGATCTATCTGATCCCGCTGCCATGTGTCTCTTTTGGTGCGGCTCTAAAAAGGCGCATTTTGGCCGTTCTTTTCCCCCCCCGTGTGGCAGGGGCCTGTGTTTTCTTTTCTTTTTTTGGCCCCCCGAAGGGGATTTTTTAATTACATTTTTCTAAGGACTACATATCTACAACGAAAATAGGGAAAGGGAACTACAATTAGAGATAAAGAAAAGAATACCCACTACTATCTAAAATCCCAAGAGAGGAGATCCTCAAAATCGCTTAATTACAAAGTCAGTTCTAAACTCGCTAACAATTTTTTTGAACTTCGTCAGGTCTGCTAATACAACTTTTGAATCTTAAATTAACTGTTAAAAAGAAAAAACCCAAAGCATCTCGTTACTATTAACCCTTTTCAAAGGCACAATACAGAGTCCTTCAGCCTTCATTTCTTCTTATCCTATCTTCTTCGCAGTTTATAAGGACTTTTAGGAGCTGCCGCCCCCTTCTCTAACAGAGAGTCCTCTCCAGAAGACCCCAAGTCCAGCTCGCCACTGGACTTACTGTCCTCTTTATCGCCTTTCTCTTGCTCGCCCATCTGGATTTTCAAAAAGTCCCATGCTTTGGAAACAATCTTTTCCTTTTTATCTTGAAGTTTGAAGGTTACGCCCTCTGGATACAACCACCGGTAGCTAATTGCGTTTGTTTGAAGAAAATGGATTAAATCTTTGTATTTCCTTCTCCTTTGTCTTATTTCAAATGGGATGTCTTT